CTAGGAATATGCTTCAAGGTCCATGGAAAGAAGCAAGCTCTCCGGTTGTAAACTTACTTGTGGATGATAAAAATGTTAACGGAGATGCGATTTCTATTGCTTTGGCTTATCTCTATGGTCATCATCCCAAACTTGATGATGATAATGCCTTTCGTGTTTTAGCTGCAGCTTCATTTCTGGACCTTCAGGTATTCTTAGTTTTAAATGTCTATGGTGGTTATTTTCTTTTCGCTCGATTGATATATAAACTATGGGATTTTTCCTGCAGGATTTGTGTGCAATATGCACTGATTTTATTATTTCTGAGCTGAGGACTTCAAACTTCTTGGCGTATCAGGTTTGAGAAATCCAGTCATGTATATTTTTTTCAGGTCTCTGTGAATCTTGAGTACACAGAGTTTCTCCCACTTGTGACTCAGGTGTTTGCAGAGAGCCAAGACTATGGCAGACATGGAGAACGTGTAAGGAATGCTTGCTGGGGTTATCTCTGTCAAAGTGGTGCCATGGAACTGAGAGAGGTAATACAATGTGTATGCTTTATTCTGACAATTTGAATTTTTATGTAGTTAGCGATGGTCTCATTTATTTGGGTATCTGTCAAAACCAAAAGTATCCCCTTTCTACCAATATCCTGTTCTACCCATCTCGCTGCTAAAATGTTTGTCCTAACTATTGACGTAACGTATCTGGCTTCGCCTTCTTCCATCCCTATATGTCATTCTATCTAGAAAGCAACTGACACTGAATATGAACAATATTCAACCTTTTCTTCAGGTAGAACTAAAGCATCTTAGTTTTTGTGACTTGCTAATTATGAAATCGTGTTTTATGGCCAGATGCTGCCAAAACTCTCTGCACAGACTCTATGTGCATTGCTGACATCTGATGAACTATGGGTTCCTAGTGAAGAAAAACGGTATGGAGAATTGCATATAGTAGTTGGATTATGGTTTCAGACTGTATTTTCATATATTGAGTTTCCTTAAGCTGTGTTTCTTTCCATGTTATAAAGGTTTGAACTGGCATTGTACGCCTTCATAGCAAATTGTGCTCTATCCAACTCAGAACATTCCAATCAAGATTTCAGTTTTGAGAGAGGGACAAGCTGTCCTATAGATTCCACCATATCGAAGGGGAAAAATGTGATAGACTTCAGGAGTTTGGACTGTAAGTTAGGTCGTTTAGATTTACAAGATGACCTAAGGGATGTTAGGGACGATGTGATTGTTCCACTAGCAGAAGGTGTTATTGATTTCCAAAGAGGAGTTTCTGGTTCAAATCTCATGTCTCAGCAATCTGCTAACTCACAAACAAGTTTTGGTCGTACTTGCACCAATGTTGTTAATAAGACAGATGGCAGTGGGGTAGCGATTGAAGGACCTTCTGAAGAGGCATACCATTTGAGTAATGACAGTTGGTTGTCAGGGGCAGACTGTAGAAATTCTCCTGTTTTAGGTTCTTCCTCTGATGGTTTTGTGGTCAATGACTGGGGAAACTGTGGTGTTTCTGCTCTTACCTGGGGTGGACGGGTTGTGGGAACGAGGCAGGTCACAGGCAGTCTTAAAGGAAAATCTGGATTTACCGAGGAAGAATACAGTGCATTTGTGAACACTTTTGAAGGTGGTTCGCTTCTGTATTGCAATATGTCTTTTGAAGTACTTCTGAACGCAAGAAAACAACTTGAAGAGTTGGGTTTCCCTTGTAAAGCGGTGAATGATGGCCTCTGGTTGCAGGTTCTTTTTCCTTAAACTTGCTTGCTTTCTCATTCAGCTAGTCTTAGAAATGTTGGGATGGTGGATTCGCTCATGCATTGATGCTTGCACTTAATACGGCGTAGGGTTTTGAATAAAACATGGAGGCATTTATCATGAGCAATCCTACTCTAGTGTTGTATGTTTGATAAATGCGTTAATGTCTTTCTGTTTGACTACTATCCAGATGCTTCTCAGTCAGAGGGTTAAGGAAGTTGCTGCAAACACATGCAAAAGGTGTTGCCTTATCAGTATTGCATGCGCGTGTAGACAAGGATTTGGGGTTTCACATGGTGCAAACTTCAACAATTATTATTGCCAAGACAACGGGCAGAACAATATGATGGGAGACATGGAAAACATGTATGTGACAGAGTCTTCTCAAGCCGAAGGAATTGGCATCTTTAAGCCTGTCAGGATCAATGTCAGAGGACAGCACATTGACGGACTTGCCGGCATTGGATGTGAATCTACATTCGTACCATCACCTGCTTGGCCTCCGACACCTTTTGTGTACTCTCGTGTCCCCATTAACAGAAATGGCCAGCAATCTATAGCTAGTGATGGTTCTGAAGGTAGAATTGATCAAAGTGGAGATATTTCAAAAGACGGCTTGACAGCTCTAGTTGGGCTGAGCCAAGGGACAACAAGTGGTGTTGGTAATAATACTCATGGAGATCAAAACGAGGGAGGGCGCATCAGTGGAGCTACTATTGGAATGTCAGAACCACAGGAACCTTCAGTAGGGACTGAGTGGGAGAACGCAAGCTGTACCATATCACTCGATACAAGGACACCTTTGTGTCACTTTCCTCCCTTTCGGTTTGGGTAATGTTTCCCTTTCGGTTTGTGTCACCAAGAGAGTTGTTTACTTGTAACTAACTCTCTTGGTTTATTTTAACTTTACTGTCACTCCTTGCTTTGTCCTGTTTGGTAAATGGTTTCTCTCAACTGTCTTTTATGTTGTCTGCAGAGTTGAATTTGAGGATGTCCATAGACTCGCTAACGGTCACGTAGAGCATTCTCCTGAGTTCTTCTATGCTGGTTCTCTATGGAAGGTATATTTAACTCATGACTCATCGGCAAGCTTTCTCTTTGGAGCCTTAATGGCTTTCCAATGATGAAATTTGGGTTTGACGAGACATTGTAATACCGTATCCAGATTAGCATTCAGGCGTTCAATGATGAAGACCCCCAAGGACGCCGAACTATTGGTAAGATGACAAGGTCACATGTTTTCGTCACCTTAAATTGGTATGCCACAATACTTAACTTGATGATCCATTTCTACAGGATTATTTCTTCACCGTCGTAAAGCAGAGATAGTGGACTCACTAAGGAAGGTCAGTTTTCTTTCTTATTCGTCCTAAAGAGAAGTCCAACCCAAATCTATTTACTACTTCGATAGACTCGTATCTTTCTGAAATTACAATCTCTTCTCCTTCATTCAGGTCCACGTTTACATAGACCCTCGTGACAAAGTGACTGCACGTTACCAGGTATGTTTCAATTATCTATTTTCAAGTTCTCCTTGCGGAATGACAAACTGTTAGGTGCTGCATTGATCATCTAAGCATAGTTTCGTTATCAAACCCGTATTTCATACGTATATATTTTCTCGAAAGATGATTGGTTTCTATATATTCTCTCCTATGTTCTTGCAGTTGATCTGCCCGTCGAAAAGAGAAGTAATGTTATTTGGGAGCTTTAAGCAGAGAGGAACTCTTTTGCCGAAAGCCCCCAAAGGGTGGGGATGGCGCACCGCACTTCTCTTCGATGAGCTCTCTGAACTTCTCCAGAACGGTTCTCTCAGAGTCGCTGCCGTAGTTCAGCTCGTCTAGAGGTTTCATATAAACTCAGACAATTAATTATATGTAAAAAAAAAATTGTTTCATTGCGTAGAACAAAATCCATATTTTGGAAGTTATTAAGCACCCTCTTAATAAATATGCTTTTTACTTCTCTAAACTATGGGTGTGTTACGTTTGCATATATACTAGTTAAAAAGCTTGTTATAACATTTCTAAACTCAGGTTTCTTCTAAAGTGTTTTTGACAGATCAAAGACTTTTGTATATGGCTTCGAGATTACGCGAATTATCCATCACAGAATTGACATTTACATTAAGAGTTTTGAAAGTGATTACCTAAATGACACATAAACGACTAATAATTCAAAACGACGCCGTTTTCAAACGACACGATTTATCAACCGGAAAAATCAAGAACCGGCCGGTTCATGATTAAACCCTTGCTTAATAATCTCCCAAATAATTGTTTCTCTCTCACCGTCACAATTTGTGGTCTCCTCTGTTAATTCGTCGCCGTCGTTTTCTCCATGGCGAGAGAGGAAGATGATACGGCGGCGATAGAGACCGTTCCGGTTGTTCCATGGATGCGAACTCCGATTGACGTCACTCATGTCGACAGTTGCGCTCTCGAATCCCTCCCTTGTCTTAATCCCAGGTAACACCAACATGTCGAAGCTTTCTTACTTTAGTTTAAGGAAAGTATGGTCACTGAATTACAGAATCCTCGATAATTTGATGAATTTCAGCTTACTTTCGTGTTCTCGGTGCTTATTGTATATGAACACAACACTTTGTGGTACTTCATTTTGTGTATAGTTTATGTAGTAAGAAAGGATTTGAATATGTTCTGTGTTCTTTATGTATCCAAATGGTTCGTGTTGAGTAGGTTGAAGAAGGCATTAGAGAACATTGGTATATCTTCATTATTTCCAGTTCAAGTTTCAGTTTGGCATGAGACGATAGGACCAGGTGGTTTCGAAAGAGACATTTGTGTTAACTCTCCAACAGGAAGTGGAAAGACTCTAGCTTACGCTTTGCCCATTGTTCAGAACCTTGAATCTCGTGCAGTGAGATGTATCCGTGCATTAGTCGTATTGCCCACTCGTGATTTAGCCTTGCAGGTAAGGCTCCTCCTCAGTCAAACAGGACTATAATTTCCCACTCTTACTGAAGTACTCCCTTTTTATTGTCATTCCTAAGTTTAGGTTAAGAATGTGTTTAACGCTATAGCGCCAGCCGTGGGGTTATCTGTTGGTTTAGCTATGGGTCAATCTTCGATATCTGATGAAATCTCAAAGCTCATCAAGACACCTAAACTTGATGCCGGAATATGCTATGATCCTGAGGATCTATCAGAAAGCCTTGAAAGTGCTGTGGATATATTAGTTGCAACGCCGGGAAGGCTGATGGACCATATCAACAACACCAAGGGCTTTACGCTTGAGCATTTGCGTTTCCTTGTATGAAGAAAATCCAGATTTCCTTTCTTTTGTTTACCTCGGTATTTAGTTTCATATTTTTTTTGATAAAAAAAAGCTAATTGTTTCAGGTTGTTGATGAAACCGACAGATTGCTTAGAGAGGCATATCAATCTTGGCTACCAACTGTTCTGCAACTGACTCAGACATCTGACAACGGCCTATTTCCTTCATCTACACCATTTATTCCTTCCGCTTTTGGTTCTCTGCAGACTGTTCGTAGACAGTGAGTTCCATCTCTGAAGCATATGTCTTTTGTTAAAAGTTGCAGTCAAAAGTGATTAAAAGTAACTAATGTGATGCGTGCTTCATATCCTCAGAAGTGTGGAGAGAGGTTTCAAGGGTAAACCATACCCAAGGCTGGTGAAGATGGCATTATCGGCTACATTGACGAAAGATCCGAGCAAGCTTATTCAGCTTGACCTGCATCATCCGTTATTCATGACAACTGGAAAAGGTCGATACAAACTACCCGAGAAGTTGGAATGTCTTAGACTGGTATGTATTCGTGTTTAATATGTCTTCTCTCTTCAAGTTTGTGCTTTACCATAACATTATGTCTTTTAACAGATTTGTGAAACCGGGATGAAGCCGGTGTATTTAGTTGCTCTCCTAAAATCATGGGAAGGTGAAAAGTGTATAGTTTTCACATCCTCTGTAGAGAAAACTCGTCGTCTATGCAAGTTGCTCAACTTTTTCGATGACCTGAATATAAAAGTAGAAGAGTATTCAGGTGGTCGTGACCAATCAGATCGGAGGTAATATTTGAATCTTACATTACTGTCATTGACACCCAATGAATACGAAACTTTACTCATTTGTTGAACAACTTTTGCATGCAGCAAACAACTAAAGGCCTTTAGAAAAGGCGTTATTCAAGTTCTTGTTGCATCTGATGCTCTAACTCGTGGAATGGATGTTAAAGGGGTAACAAATGTCATTAACTATGATGTGCCTCCATATTCAAAGACCTTTGTCCATCGTGCTGGACGGACAGCTAGAGCAGGACAGGCCGGCCGGTGCTTCACATTGCTGAGTGATCATGAGGTAAACTGAAACTCTATTATGCACAAACACACAAACAATCTTTCTCTATATGCTTATCCACTTACGCGTAAACACAAGCTAGAGGTACGTTACATGATGGATACTAGATACATCAAAACAGAATGAAACAAAAAACGATGTTTTAGTTTCAGAATCTTGTGCTCATCTCACTAAATCATCAAAATCTCTTATCTGATTCTCTGTTATTTTTGTCATGCTCAAACTCTAGACTCTAGCTCCATTTATTCGTTTGGATATATAAAATTTTCAGGTAAGGGGATTCTCGAAGATCCTGAAGAAAGTTGGGAATGATTCATGTCGTACATATACGTTCCCGCCTACTACATTGAATCCCATTCGTGTTACTTACGAACGTGGTAATTTTCCTAGCCTTGTGTAAATAGACATGAGAAAATATAAGCTGAGTTATGTGGACTTGAAATTGAGTTTCTGTACCGCGGCTTAGATTCTCCGATAGATTTTGAGTTTTATGGAAGTCTATCAAATGCATAGGGAAACATTCAAGGCC